GTGGCGGGTCTTCGTTCTATATACACCCGCCGTGGCGGCGTGCAGTCTTCTCTATGCGTATGTATTATTATTATTGTTATTATTATTATTATTATACGTATAACGCTAAGACGTTTACGTCACACGCCCACATGATAGCTGTATGTGTGTGTGTGTGAACCGTGTAATCCCGACCGAAAAAATACCAAAACTCCTGGCTGTACCCGATCAGTAAAATAAAAAATATATAATAAATATATATATATATATTTAAATAATATCGTACGCGTATAGTGTACACACGTACGCGTATTAAAACGTGTATATATTACTGTTATTACAATAGATACAGCCCAACCGTCCGGCAATAATAATATATAAAAACAACGACGCGGACTTGTAGGGAAGGGGGACGCGGATGGGCTTGAGCCGTTTGCGGGGCTCTGTTGTGGAAGTGGGGGGGGGATCGACGGTCGGTCCCCGCTGACCCGCCACCGCCGCCACCGGTTTTAATCCTAATTTATGAATCGGATTCACCCGCCGTTCACCCGCGCGTATACCACGCGTACAAATTGAAATGTCATTGTTTTCCGCACCGAGATGTATATTATTATACGCGTCTATCTGTATACACATCGGCGACTCCCCTTCGCCGTGTGTATACTTATTATAATATAAACACGCATATAATATCTAATATTTATTCATATTCATAGCGTATTCGTTGTGCGCGCGCGTTTGAATGATTTCGTTTCTGGACACCCGACTATACAATAATAAAATAATAATATTATATACGTACCTAAACAACATCGCGGCGGCGGCAGCGGCGGTTCAGGCGTGCACACGCGGATAATAAATCACGCGTGCGTTATCTGTACCTAATCGATCCCAGGCCCGAGCGATTAGTGTCTACCGCCACTGCCGCGTCGCGTATCTCCTGCCGCTACCTCGTATATAGTTGATATATTACGTGTGTGATACGTATAATATGTGTGTGTTGTATAAATGCGCACCCGAAACCTGCACACGGGTACGACGTAACGTAGGTACACATGTAGGTATGAAGCATTCAAACTTCAGAGTAGCTGTATCATAATTTTTGACGCGATTATCGATCGATAGAGATACTCGTGTGCGTGAGAGACGGTATAGGTACGTTTTGTATACGCATTACAATAAAATACAAAACGACGACGATTGTCGAAGAAACAAACGCGCGTAAATCCATGAGGTCGCGGGAGCGCATATGCCGCAGCGTCAGGTACGTCGAAGAGGTAGCTCCTCTTACCTACATACATACATATGTATATATATATATATAGGAGCCAGAAGGTGTGTGTGCGTGGTGTGTATACGGTTTTACGCGACGACGATGTGTGTACGTGCCGATGAGCTGCGGCCGGTGCACATTATATTGTGTAGCATAACATAATCGACATCAAAACAACGATATAATAATATGTCCCCGGACGGCAATCCATCAAGTCGGGCGAGATGTACCTGTAATAAAAATAATGATATCTCGGGGGACCGCGACTTGGGACTACGGGTATCCCGCATACATAATATTATAATATACACGAATACGATACACCTACGCGTCGGGTGACAAATCGTCCGGCGATGACTGGGCGAGCCGGCGCGCGCGGTCGCCACGCCGATGCGAAACCGATTTATATTGCTGCTGCAGCGCAGGTACACGATTACCCGCGGTAATCGAAGATATTGTTATATTGTACTTGTACGGCGTTAATAATGACGACATAAAAATAATCAAATAATATAGTATATACTCACCGGTATGACAGTTGTATTATTACTGTCGTGAGAGCTAGAAGAATCGAAAATACTACGATAGGGTGTGTACGTCATTCATTACCACGATAGATATAGCGATGAATGATGATGCGTACAATAAATGTATTATTATAATATTGCAAGACGTATGCGAATGAGAATATACAACCTAGAAAGTGGTATTTTATACCAGGCAGAGATATTGGATATATTATTAGACTGTTAAATTGTAAAATTGTACATATAGTATATATACTTAGTGTAAGTATATGTTGTGTAATGCGTGACATTTTAGCCCACGGCGTTTTCCTGCAGAGGTGTTAGTTAAATGAGAAAACGGAAAAACACGTAGTGGGCCGGAGCAGTCAACATACATATAGGTACATAACGTACATACATATGCAAAAGGTAATGGTGTAATTATACGCGCGTTTTCTGGATTACAAAAAAAAAAAAAAACTCAGACAATTTGTTCTTATTGTCTGCGTTTTACAAGTGCGCGTATATATGTGTATAGATATTAAAAGTATACGACAACGAAAAGGGTTTTCCGCGGGGGTTTCACTGCATTATACTATAGCCATATATGAACATGTACATAATATTATATAAGATAGATGTAGGGTATATATAGCGAACCGCCCGAGGACTCTTTCTATATACCTCTCTCTCAAACTCCCTTTATATGTATAATATATATAATATATATATACTTGAAAGATTAGCGCGTTTGATCTCTCGTCCTCGTCGTTATGTATATAATATAATATATATACATATATAGGTACACGTGTATTGAATCTCGTATCACCACTCGAAAACGAGGATCTTTTCTCCCTCGTAGGTACAGCGCCCGAAGCTGTAGCTCATATATTGTTGGCAAAATTTTCTTTCCATATATATATTATATATATATATATATATATATGTATAAATATTGTATTATGTCTTTATTTCCAAGGTTTTTTTTTTCGTTTAAAAATATTTATTAACGCGGGATAGGTAAACGGTATAAGTATTTTTTCACTGTAATATACGAACAATATTATATTTATCATACATAATATAACATTAGCTGCTGCGTTGCGCTGTTATATATTCAACTATGTATTATATTTAGATACACATATTATTATTGTTATACCATGAACAGACTTGCACACATACGCATTTATATTATATTCGACGTTGTTTGGTTAAGCATCGTCACGCCTGCGGCAGTCGGTACGAAAACAATAATAATAATAATAATAATAATAATAATAATAATAATAATATAATAATAATAATAAAAAAACAGAGAAATAATAATAATCACGATTTGACGACTGCAGACTATTATATGACGGGTTGTTGTTTTCGTTTTATTTCCTTTATCTTGACGATTATGATATTAATCGTTTCGTTGCAGCTGCGGCTTTCCGCGTGGAAATGTTATGGAATAAAAAAGTAGGTAGATATACGTATAACAATAATATACATATAATAGATGTATTGTAATAATATCTACCAACTAAAATGCGTGAAAATGCGTGTTATTTTTTCTTTTACAATTCATATTATTAGAACAGATGATTTTATTAAGCGCGGGGTGGATTGAAATGGTTTATTATATACGGACTGTACAGTATTTATATAGCTAAATTGCTAAATATTACTATTATATATATAAAATATAAATATTATCTATGTGTGTGTTCAGTGTGTTCGATTACAGTCGTATTATCGCATTAAAAAATTTACAGCTATGTTTAACTAGCCATTTGTCTCCCGGTGTCTTCAAGATTTTTAATTATACCTACCGAACTACACAGTCTGCAAAGGTTTTTGTAGCTTTAGCCAAGCCGCATTTTAATATATTTTTAGTATACTATAATATTTTATTGAATATTTAATAAACAAGTGTATATATATATATACGTTTATGTATAATAAAACAAACTTATAATACATATAAATATTTTGTTTGTTTTAATTTCGAGTTTGCAGTAAAATCTGTAAATATATTTTTATAATAAGCACAAAAAATGACGTTTACAAAGTTATAACCTCAATTACTTATTTAATAAATAGCTTCATTTAAAAAAAAGACTGAAAACTTGAGTGAAGGGGAGCCATTCAATGATGGAACTCGAGTCAAAAATAATAATAAGGGTTGTGTACTTATTTATTTATACATAATAAACGTTAGAACATTTTTGTGCATAAATTAATCGACGACGAGAGAAAAATAAATTAATAATATTTCAATGTTTAACAATAACTAATTAAAAATGCGTGTCGTAAATACGCGCGGCAGTGAAACATACAATCAAACGTGAAATAAAGTGAAACTTATTTTTAAACTGTAACGCTCCACGTCAAACAATATAAAATGGACAGAATACATAGGTATACAAGCATAGTTAAAACAACAAAACTATGTATAATTATATAGTGTGTGTAGGTATATATATATATATTATTTATTAAGTTAATTACTAACGACTAGTATAGACTCTAATATAGTGACACAGATATTATTATATACTCGTAATATCATATTCAATATTACATACTCATATAGGTACCTATATTTTTTTATATGTTCAATAATTATAGTATATATAATATGCATGTCTGCAATATAATTCAATTATTCAACTGCACATATCGGGAACTCGCATTACACATTATGTATGATATACGTTATACAACGTCCGTGTATCATATACATATTATATTATTATTATCATATATATATATATATATCAATTTCTCTTTCAGAGCGCTTCCTTTCGAGAATTTTTGATTTTTTTATTATTATTTTTTTTTTTTTTTTTTTACCAACACTGTTATTATTATTTGCTATTATTACTATTATTGTTCACGTACGGAGCTCTGCGGCGTGGGTGGGCGTTACCCGAGCTTCGCGATTGGCCCGGTCGCAAGAGCGCCGACTGTCGTAGATGCAGTGAGGGGGCGAGGACGGCGGCGGCAGCACCAGGTGAACGGCGCGCGTACATCATAGCAGCCCCATCGGAAACCGCGCGCGCGGTGCACGGAACCGCCACCGCCGCCGCATCGTCATCGCCGGGCGCGCAACGGTCCGCCGGCCAGCGTGCGAGCTCCGCCCCCCGCACGTTGAGGCGTCGGTCACGGCGCGTAGTACGTCTTTCGGCCGGTAGGGCGCAATCACGGCCGCCGCCGCAGAACGACAGCGGCAGCAGCAGCAGCAGCAAACCGCGCATTACGACGAGCAGTTTACAGCGATCGGCCCGTACAATCACGTCGTCGTCGTTGCCGTAGTCGTCGCCGTCTGCCGTTGTTGTGTCATATTTTGAGACGGTGGTCTCGGCGGTCCGAACGTTCTCATTGCGCGCGTCGCACACGCCGTAATTATTCATAAATATAATACATTTTTTTTTTCTTTTTTAAACACGAGAGTCGAAGTTTTCGTTCACGTAATATAAATAAAAATATCGACTTTGACCGATAATTCCGTGTCTTCGTCACCGCCGCCACCATATTCGACTGCGTACGACGCGACGTTCTCCGCCCAAATCACACAGGCGCCGTACAACCCGTTGTTTACGTGACTAGAGCACACAAACACACAGACGGCCCCGAGACAGCTCCCGTTCGTCCGCCGCCGCGTCGTCAGCCGATGTCAACTGCAGCACGGCGCTGTAGTCACGCCGCCGTAATCGGCCGCCGACGTCGCCGCCGCCGAATCTCTCCCGTGCTGCCGCTGTTTGTCGCCGTCGCCGCCGCCGATTCGCCTAGGACTAGTTGTAGAAGCGACCGCCGCCGCCGCTGTCGTTCCGACTGAACATCTGACCGACGACTACAAACTGTACGGGGTGAGTCGTATAGGCCTGTATTAGTATTATCGTTATATTATAACATACGTACAGCTAGTGATCTAGTTTGAGGAGCTTATTCCACTCTACGTAGATCATAGCATAGATCGCAATTACTCAAACTTTGTATACTAACATTGAACGATAAGCGTGGTGATAATAATACGCGATAAACGTAAAACGGGTGCCGTCGGTCATATGATTACGCGCCGATCAAAAGACTTGATTATCGTTGCACTTAGTCGCACTGTTGGTTCTCCGACATTAATTATACCAAACGGAGATTTTTATTTATATATCACAATATCATTGTATTGTATGCTATATTTTAACTGAACTTATGATATTCTTAAATATATGACGTATATACTCGTATTATGAGACATCGTTTTCGGTATATTTTGGTCTCTGTACATTGTATCACTTTCATTACTTAAGATAATAACGTCTACCTTAATTACTTGCAATTATTCATATGATTTATTTTAATTTTTGTATTTTATGTGATAAGATTTTGAGGTAGATACCTATTTAACCTATTTAATAACGTAATAATACAGGATAAAATTATGTCATAAAAATTATAAAATTGTTGCTAGTCTGTTTCCTAAAGCACGATATTTCAATTATAAAACATTATTAAATCCCAAAGCATTAGGAACTGCGCTGGATAATAGGCAAAGTATCGGTCTACCGAGTTTTTGTATTTTTTTTAAATTTGATCCCAACTATAGCTATTGTACAGTTAAATAATTCGATTCAATTGTAATTTCTACTAATTTTTGTATTAATTTATCATTAAATTACGACCTAACAGTAATAACTAGCTAATATTTCGATCGACCAACCGAAATTTTCTTGGTAGCTCGCCAACTCAACCGGGTCTGACCAGAAACCGTCGCCGTGTTAATACATCATAATATACATAATGTTTTTATAATAAACTTATTTCAACTTATATTTCTAATATCTCTGCGCGTACCAATACTATTATTTAATATTATTTATAATAAAAAATATAAAATATACATACCTATCTATTTTGTGTTAATAAATATTTAATATTTTAATTATAAATTAATAACAATACATTTTAGTATTAAGGTGATACACAACGCGTGAAAGGTTATTATATAAATTTTAAAATTTATTTTGTATATCTATCACGCATACGATATAATATGCAATGTATAAATAATATACATATAATTCAGCGTGATAAGGGAAACGTATGATTAGTCCAGTTTGATTGTAAGCTTTTTCTCTATAGATTATTATTTATTATTATATAACTTTGCGGCAAAATAATAACTTGTTTGAAATAATTTATAACGCTGAAACCATTCGGTTGAAAATCTGTAAAAATGTGTTTTCAAAATTTTATCCCGGTTTAATGATTTTGGCTCAACGTAATGATCGCCATTATGAAAATATATACCCAACGTTTTGCTATTCACATATAATAGCGTAGAAATAAATGCTAAATTATCTTTTTTTTCACATTACAACATTAACCATTGTTATCATATTACGTTTAAAAAAAGTTGAGACCTAAGTATATATAAAGATAAAATATTAGAAAGTTAGTTATACCTAAATGAAAATAAAAATATTAATTAAGTACTTGTGCTGATAACGTTAATAACTAATGATATTATATTATTGGCTCGTGATCTACTTTAAATTTTTATTTATGATAGACAATTATTACATGATATTTATTTATTTATTTTTAATCTTTGCTAGTGTATACAAACTCTAAATATATCTTCTACTTTAATTTTAAGCGTACCTATTTGGACTACGATATATCATACGAGTATAGTTAATACATTTTATATTGTGATGAATTTGAAATTATTGTTAAATTTGTCACTGGTTTGCGGAATATTCCAATTGACTTTTATTATGGTCGTCGTGTTTATATTCCGTGGTTTCAGCTGCTTATCTGTAGAAGCGCGTGCCAACAGAAGCTAACGACACTAACGGAAGTAATTCACGATAAGAATATTTCTGCTGCTGCTGTTACGGCTAGTCTTGCAACCTGCAGCAGGTATGGCAAAACTGCGTCTGACCGGATGTGTCGTAAAAAAAAATGTAAATAATTAATAAAATCTAAAAAAATTACATTAATTATCGTCTATCGACCTATATATAATAATAAAAATCATAAACAATCGTCGTTCGTTGTTGTCCGCCGCCGTTGTGAATTCCGTTATAATATTATACCACAACCGCATCCGACTACGACAATGTTTCCGCCCCACAAGTTTATAATAGTAATTACTAATTATTTTGCGAGTAAATAATAAGATTTTATTATATTAAAGTTCTATAGGTGATAACAGCAGTGGTTTCTAATATTTTCTACACGTAGTGTGTACGCGATCAGTTTTGATTAAAGTTGGATAGACTATGACATTTAACAAAATAAACTCTATTGGAAGAAAAAATAAATTAAGTGAAATTTTCTAAATTCAGTCATAAATATGTATGATGCGTGACTTTTTTATTTACTTACTTATTCTCTTTGTCTCGTTATATTTTTCATATATTTCGCATTCCATCATAGGCGTAATCGCGTAGAACAGATTTACCAAAATACAAAATAAATCAAGAATCTATCTGTATCTATAAAGTTGATGTACTAGATATTTTATAATAATAAAAATTACTTCAGTCGGAGAATATAAAAAGAAAAAAAATGTTTTAATATTAGCCATATTAAAAAAAAAATTGAAATAAGTACCAGAAATCACTAATTATTAGTCCTTCATGTATTATATTGTATAGCTGACATAGGAAGCTTTAAGTTTCATATTGAAACCAGAACAAGCTTTGAAGTCCAATTACAATGAACAAAGAACTATAATTAGTTTTTATATATTATGTTGTACCTAAATATTATATAACTACTATAGTATAGTACTATATGTACTATTTAATTTTAATTTCTATATCTTTTCTATTATTGGTAATAAGCTAACAAGTATGCCTATCTTAATGTATAATATATACATACCTACTTATACTAGTACATACCTATATTCAACAGCAGAAAATATCATGTTAAAGTCTTGAAAATGTTGTCAAGTTTCACTGCAGAGTAATTTATAAAACTTAATTTTTTATCTTATCTCTCCAAAGAACATTGTACATTTACATGGTATAGGTATGAATTTGATCTTAAATGTATGACTTTATTATGTTTCAATGTTTCGTCAATACAAAAATCGTGTAATGGTGTCAAAAAAGTATCTATTTATTGTTAATGATACTATTTTACAGTAATATATAATCACGGGGTACGGTTTCAAATCTAAATAATCTCATTTAAACTGTTTTTTAGACTCCGTAAGAACTTTGTAGTTAGACAGTATGATGTAAACATTTTTTTTTTTCTATAAAATATATACATCATCACTCTTTAGCCATTTCTATTTTGGCGGGTTTGGCTGTCGTCGTTCACACTCGATGGTAATACGAGGTAATAATATGTGCGACAGACGTTGCCTGCAGTGAATAATTTAATCTCTGCAACGGTCGGGTGGTGGTAGATCGAACTTGGTGTGCGCGTGTTGTTCCCCTCGACGTTACAAGTGTTTGTGTCGCGTTCAAATAGTTTAATTGTTGGTATATTAATAAATATCGTATACTGTCATTATGGTATTAGAGCGTAGGTAGTTGAGATTGTAGGCCGAAATTATCTCGAAAAACTACGGTAACCGATAACGACGTCGCCGCCACGTGAGGCAGAACATAATAATATAGTAGTGTGTTGTGTTGAAAAGGAATGGGTGAAGGGGGAGGGGGAACAAGACGAGTGTTGCGAAACGACGATGAGATCGTATAATAATATATACCGATGTTGTCACTTGTCGCGCGTAGTTCATTCGCGTCAAGTTTTGTGATGATCGTCGATGGGACAGGCTACTTGCGACACACATTATATTCGAACAACCGTTGTCGTCCGTATTCTATAATATTATTATATTAAAATAAATTATTACTGTTACAATAAAATTATATTGCTGAACTGTGTAAGTTCCTCGAAATTCAAACATTCTATTCTTTGATAACTTCCCAGCTCTCAATATAATTTGTCATATATATTCCATAAATATATGTACATAGTGATATATATATGTATAGCTGCCGATATCCGTGAACGTCACGGTGTAATGTTGAAGTGTTAATTAATTTTTTAATTTTTTTATCACGACCGTTATAAATTGTTATTATTATTATTATATATTGAATTAACGACGACGGTTTTTTTTTCTTCTCTAATTCTGTTCCCCTCTACACATTAAAATCAACCCTTTCCGAACCGCCCTATACGTCATATGTACGTCCCTTTTATATGCCGCTGTGTTCTAACGCGGTGCAGGTAAAAAAAAATAAGGGTTACTCCGAGTGAATATTTTGTACCATTCCACCCGGGTCGCGATAATTTATGCGTGATACGTATTATGCATGAGCGACGAATGAACGCAACGAATGAACGCGTCGGGGTTTTGCGACAAAAATCTCTAGGAGGGAGACTCGGCGTTTCGCAGCTTTTGTGCACACAATAAACAACATGGAGAGGACAACAGGACAATAATAACTTTTTCCTCACAGCTGACATCATAGACAGTCTATAACCCTGTATCAATTTAGAAACGTAAGACTTTATGCTTTTTTTTTAGTATTAGTACATGTGTGGATTATTTTCGATGTATCGTTTTAGAATCACGATATCGTTCTTAGAACAATAGTTATAGTTCATATTCATACTATAGTCTCGTTTTTAATTTTTATTACACTATAATATTATACGTTGTATACCTAATCAATAATATACGCCACGTCCATAAATAATGTATAATAATATAGTGTATTTTTTTAAATTTGTTAATGTGTTATATGATGGTAAACGTCTAACAGTTGGATTAAATTTATTGTGTACCTACAAGAGGCGGAGAAAAATAATAAAGCCCCGTTTAACCAGCTAGTTA